TTGCCGCGAGGGGGGGGGGGGGGGCCTGGCTTTCGTGCGACCGCGCAACGGGCGCGCATGTCTCCGCCCCCCCCCCACCGCTCACCGCTCACCGGACCCCAGCGGGTGGGGGGGGAGGGCGCAGGGGCTGCGGCTCACGGAAGCACGCGCGTGCGGCGGGCGCGGGCGCTGGCGCACCGTTTCGGCCTGGTGAGACAAAACGCCTAGGGCGAGCGCGCGCGCACGCGCGCCTGCCGGCCCGCCGGCCCAGGGCGACCAGTGCGGTGGCGGTCCGGCCCCGACATGACCGGGGGCGTGGCCCGGCATGGGTGTTCGCCCGGTGTCCCCCTCTCGTCTGGGTCCCGCCCCGGGCCGGGGAGGGGGGGCCAACGTGCTGTGGTCCGCGACGGCGATGGAGAAACCATTCCTGTGGGAAGAACCGACCCGTGAGTGGCGGCCGGGTGTTCGTCCTGGGCTGTGGCAGCGGTGCCAGTGAGGACACCGCGCCGGGGCCGGTGTTTTGGCAGCGTGCCGGGGGGCCGCCGCGGCCGCCACAGGGTCGGCCGGGAGGGGCGGGGGGCGGGGGGCGGGGGGCGCAGGCGGCCGCGGAAACCGCGGAGGCAGGCCCGGCTGCCCTGGCTCCGGTTTACCGCGCCGGCGTTGGGGAAAGACGTCCTGGCACCGCCCGGCCCCCACTTCCCCGGGATGGAGGGAGCGCAGGCGACGAAGCGGGGCGCTGCAGCTGCTACCCCTTCCCTCGATCTTGGCGGGGTCTGAGAAGGGGGGGAGGGGAGGCGGGGGGGGGGGGGCGGGGGGCGCGGCGTTCCATGCCCCCGACCCCTGGTGGCCCGGGCAAGGGCTCGCCGCCCGGGGCCTCTGAACGGCGCGGCAGGGGGGGCGGCGGGACCGCGAGGGCGGCCGCGCAAGCCGGCGCCGCCGGCCCACCGAACCCCGAGCCGGCGATTCCGCCACGTTGGCCGCCGCCCTCAGCATGGGAAAGTGCCCGGCCGGAGCCCGATGCAGCAAATTAGCTGGCGTCTTTCCGCGAGGCGGTGTCGGTCCTGTCCGAGCCAGGGGGCGCCGGGGGAGGGGGGGGGGGCGGGGGGGAGCCGGGAGCGCCTGCGCGCGCCGTGCCCGGCCGGCCTCGTACCGGCGCCGTGCCGGCGCGCGCGCGCGCGCCAGAGCCGGCGGCCGAGCGCCGCTGGGCGCGGGGTGCGCCCCGCGGGGCCGAGCGAGCGAGAGCAAGGGAGAGAGGGAGAAGGACGAGGGCGCTGGCGGCCGGCTGTGGGCGGTGCCGGGCGCGCGGGGCGCCGGGCCCGGGCGGGGCCGACGGGCGGCCGCGGCCACACCACACATGCCCCCGTGCCAGCGGTGCAACCGCCCACCTCCCCGCGGTGTTGGACATGCGCGGCTTGCATGCCGCCCGGGTCTCGGTGTCGATGTGTTCGTTCGCTCTCGCATGCCTCGGTGCGTGTGTGCGTGCGTGCCGTTGTGCACGTCGAGGCCCGTGGCCGGGGCCCGGCAAATATGTCCACTCTCCTCTGGGCATGGCCGGGCGAACGGGCGGGCGGGGGGGGGGGCGGGTGGGGGGGGGGGACCATTGGCGCCCCGGCGCGCGGG